CTTAAGGAGCATGTTAGATTTTGCATCCTTCTGTTTCAACACATGTGATCAGATGATACAGGTTGCTTGTGTAGACTTGTCCTCCTCAGCCATCCATTATTTGGCTGTGGGCTCATTTTCCCTTGGAGAAATGTCTGATCATATGTACTGGGAGGGGCCAAGGCCAGCCTCATCTATGTTGGTCGCGGTGATGTTAGGATTGAGAATCCAGGAACCACAGACCCCTTAGTGAATCCCTGTTTGAGGCCAATCCACTAGTCTCTCCTTTGGCTGGAGTTTTCACTTTTAAACACTTAGGGGAAATAAGATAATCCACAATCCTGCTGATTTGATTGGAAGCACGATGGAGGGCTGTCTGTGTCTATTTTTGTGAACTCTTTCCCGTGCCCCTGAAGAGTCTGTGTTGCTGATATGGGTGGGCACTGTTCCAGGCACTGTTAACTGTCGTACTGAAGGAGTCAGGCTGATGACTGCCTCTGTCAAGGCAACTTAAGAGAACAAGAGCAGAATGTAAATGCTGTTCAACCAATCCTTCATGATGCCCAGGCTACAGCTGTTAGCCCTCCCACCCTCACACCAATTTCAGTAGTCTTCAGTCTTGGAGGTGGGTAGTGAGGAATTCCCTAATTTCCCTGCTGTGTTAGAAATCCATGTGTCTCTCTCTCTCTCTTTTTATTTTTTCTTTCTTTTAAGACCTACTCCTGGGAACATGTGTCTCTCTCTTGTCCTTCCACTGATTGATTAGGATTGATTTTGAGGATCTTGGCAGGAATTTTCTGCCATATAGTTTCTTATTTATGTCTTTATTTAGAATGAATGAATGAGGTGGGGTGTTACTGTCTTTTTCTTTTCTTTTCTTTTCTGTTCTGTTCTGTTCTTTTTCTTTTCTTTTCTTTTTGAGACAGGATTTCACTCTGTGGCCCAGTCTGGAAAGCAGTGGTGTGATCACAGCTCACTGTAGCCTCAACCTCCTTGGGCTCAGGTGATCCTCCCACTTCAGCCTCCCCAGTAGCAGGGACCACAGACAAGTACCACCACACCTGGCTAATTTTTTTGTAGAGACTGGATCTGGCTGTGTTGCCCCAGGCTGTTCCTGAACTCCTGAGCTCAAGCAATTATCCAGCCTCAGCTTCCTGAAGTGCTGTGATTACAGGCATGAGCCACTGCGCCCAGCCAGCATCTTCATCTTCACAGTATTTTTTAGTATCTTCAACTATAAAATGGGGATAATGGTTACCTCGAAGAGCACTTGTGGATTTTGGATATTTTATATCAGTGTCTAGAACAAAATAAATATTTAAAGAGTATTGAGTTCTTTTTACTTTCAAAAGACCTAATGCCAGCCGGGCACAGTGGCTCCTGCCTGTAATCCCAGCACTTTGGGAAGCCGAGGCGGGTGGATCACAAGGTCAGGAGTTTGAGACCAGCCCGGCCAATATGGTGAAACCCTGTCTCTACTAAATATACAAACTCCTCCAACTTTTGACCTCAAGTGATCTTGGCCTCCAAAATGCTATCCAAATTTTAGGATCCTTTTTTTAATTTCTGAGAAACAATATCATTGGAATCATGATGAGGATGGCATTGAATCTGTCTATTGCATTGGGTGGTATGGATATTTAAACAATATTAAATCTTTCAATACATGAACAAGACATGTCTTTCCATTTATTTGTATCTTCAGTTCCTTTCATCGATGTTTTATAGTTTTCAGTGTAGAGATCTTTCACTTCCTTGGTTAAATGTATTCCTAGGTATTTAACTTCTTTTTAACTACCATAAATGGGATTTCTTTCTTTCTTTTTATTTTTTTGTGGGTAGGTTGTTGTTAGTGTATGAACACGCTACTGATTTTTATATTTTGACTTTGTATCTTGCAACTTTACTGAATGTATTAGTTCTAACAGGTTTTTGGTGGTATTTCAATTCTTTTAATAATGAAACTGAGGTCCAGAAAGGTGACAAACTTGTCTAAAATCCTGCATCTAGAGCCAGGTTAGACCCCATACTTCAATCTCAACAAATAGGGTAATACTTTCTGCTTTTTAAGTGTGTCAAATGTATCATTAGTGTGCATAGTGATTTTAGGTAATAATTATCCTTTCTTCTCATATGTATTAGAAAAATATAATAAACAAACCAAACCTGGCATTTCATAGTCATTCTTGTTTAGAAATACTTTTTTAGGTGAAATGCTGGCTGGGTGCAGTGGCTCATGCCTGTAATTCCAGCACTTTGGGAGGCCAAGGCCAGTGGATCATTTGAAGTCAGGAGTTTGAGACCAGCCTGGCCAACATGGTGAAAACCCATCTCTACTAAAAATACAAAAATTAGTCAGGTGTGGTGACATGCACCTGTAATCCCAGTTACTTGGGAGGCTGAGGCAGGAGAATTATTTGAACCCAGGAGGTGGAGATTGCAGTGAGCTATTGCACCATTGCACTCCAGCCTAGCCTAGCCAATAGAGCAAAACTGAATCTCAAAAAAAAAAAAAAAAAGTGAATTGCTTCAGTAAATAATAAATTCAGATGCAGTGTAGACATGATTAAAGTTGTTGTGGAGGCGGCCCTTATGTGCTTGAGACTTAGGGAACTCTACCTTATATTATAAATGCCATTCCTCTCATTTATAACAATGTTAAGATTTCATAATTTTAGTAGCAATTCATCCTATGCAATGTATTAATACAAGAAAAAAGTAAGTAAAACTTCTTTCATGATTATTTCCCTGAGCAACATTTTTGCTTCCTTCTTACTTTTAAAAATTGCGTTTCCATTTCCCACAACACCAATGTAAGTAAACAGTATTCGTTGTATACCAAAAGTACTTCCCTTAATCCAACATTATGACTTACTACAAGTAGAAATGAGGCAATTGGTGTACTTAATCCTTTATAAAAGCTTAGAAGCCATCTCAAAATGCTTCAAAGAAATTGCAAATACAGTATTTTAGTAGGATTTTCAAATATTTACTGTGGAATCGGAGCACAAATCTCCTCTTCAAGAGAAATGTGAACATGAAAGACTTATTGTCCAGGGTGGATGAAATGGAAACATAATTCACAATTTGTTGTGGACAAGGAGCCTGTCAGAGAGAATATTTCCATGGTCTTACAAGGGTATTACTCAGCTGCCCTACTAGCATTTTTTTTTCACTGTTCTGACAAGAAAGGAAAGGAAAAATATTCACAACCTAGGTCGCTAAACTAAGAGCTTTAATTAATGAGACCCCAGAAAGGTTCCTAGCAGATAAAAGTGTGATTGCTCTGTGTTCTCTGACCGCAACTGCAGGTTCTCTGACTTCTCTTTTGTGTTCTGAGACCCTCAGTGTGAAGATATAAGGGCTGTCTGAGATGGCAAATTGCTTTGCTAAAAAGCCTCTTTACACATCTGGAACATAACCTCTTAAATCCAGCCCAGCCTTATGTTAACACCGTGGCTTATAAACCATGCTTACACTGCATGGAATCATAAACATGTTGAATGTAGGAAACACTGTTAGTTTATAAATTGGGCCTGCTATTAAGTTTTGAGGTCATTAGTTTGTTTTTATTTTTTTGTCCTTTCTTTTATATTTTTCCAAACTATTCATGCTTTGGAAATCTAAGGGGTGGGTAAGAAAACAGTTTAGTCTGTTTTTTTTTCATGGTTGCTCCCAACAAGATGCCTCTGACTTTTTCTCATCCAAACTCGACATAAAGCTGTTTCTCCCATATCACCACCATGACTGCCACACAAAGCCAAGATGTCTCCATTTTAAATTTGTTTTGCTTCACAGACTTACTACTAAACTCCTGGGTGATGGGGAGGTGGGTAACATGAGGCCCAGAGTCATGCCTCTTGGTGTGATGTTGGGAAAGTTACTTCACCTCGCTGAGATGTTTATGGGTCTGTGAAAGGAATGATCTGCTCCATGTGCTCACTACATCCCCCTTTGCATCTAAGCCATGATAATAACCCAAATAAGATGATAGGATTTTATACAGGGGTGCCTGGCTATTGACATTTTGATCAACAATAGACAGCACATATGACAGTGGTTCTATAGGATTAGAACACCACAGTTTTACTGTACCTTTTCTACAGGTATTTTTGTTTTGTTTTTTGAGACAAAGTCTTGCTCTGTTGCCTGGGCTGGAGTGAAGTGGCATGATCTCTGCTCACTACAACCACCGCCTCCCAGGTTCAAGCGATTCTTCTGCCTCAGCCTCCCGAGTAGCCAGGATTACAGGTGAGTGCCACTATGCCCTGCTAACTTTTGTATTTTTAGTAGAGATGGGTTTTCACCATGTTGGCCAGGATGGTCTCAAACTCCTGACCTCAGGTAATCCACCCTCTTTAGCCTCCCAGAGTGCTGGGATTACAGGCATGAGCCACTGCGCCCGGCCTGTTTAGCATTTTTTTAAAAATCCCAACCTAAAGAAAAGCTAGAAACACAAACACTTAGCATGTGTTACAGTTACCTTCAGCATTCAGTACACTCTACATGCTGTAGAGGTTTGTAGTCTAGGGGCAACAGACTGTACCATATAGCCTAGTGTGTAGTTGGCTCTACCACCTAGGTTTCTGAGTACACCCTATGACATCTGCACAACGATGCACTCACCTAATAATGCATTTCTCAGAATGCATCCCCGTTGTTAAGTGATGCATACTGGACATTGTGCATTAAAAAAAAGCCAGAACACTCCTTATGTACCGCATAGACTTTACCAAACATTGAGTTAAACAGAAACAAATAGACAATCCTACAATGAAAAGGAGACATTCATGTCTACCCTAGTGATTCACCGTGTCTGGAGGACAGAAGGGGGCCACGGACAGTTCTGCAAATATAATATGGATATACCCAATATCCACCGTGTTTGGCCTTCCTTTATCAGTGAGATACAAACTGATATCTGCAGTGTATAAACAGTTTCCTAGTAGAGTCTATTTGAGAAAAAGAATCAAATGTGCATCAATATGTCAAAACTGACAGATATAAGAAAACCATTCAGCTAGAGATAAGTCACAGCATTTTATTCAAGTTAATCCATTTCATTCAATAATCGGCCACATTGTTCCCAGCACCACTATTACTGTCATTATTTCTCTTTGGAGAAGATCAGGTATTAAGAAATCTGGTTTGAATTTCCATGATGCCTAACTCTATGGTCAAAAATCCTCTTCTTTACCAAAAAGCAACTTCTCAATCACAAGACAAATAGACGGATAGACTGAGATATATTTGCAGAAATTTATCTCCACTGGAGACAATTCAGAGTTCATAATATTTCAGGGTTGTGCTTTACTCGGGGGCTCTGTTTTGGGGAGGGGGGTTGTTTCTCCTAAATGTTTGCTTAATACAAATAACTTGCCCCACTGTATCACAGATGGGAAATGAGGACTAATCCCCAGAGAACAAGCAGGCAGTCCTCCAGGGAACAAGCCTTAATGGCTCCTGGTGGTGACAGAGTCATTCTGCTTCCCCAACCTGTGAGCAATAATAAAGTATAACCAAGTGAACAGGAGAGGTAGTAACTAGCCAGATAACCCATGGGCTAGAATCTCTAAACAGGAATGCTTGTGTGTTTTGAATAATTCAGAGCTGGAAAGAGACACTTTTGGAGAATAGAAAAATGTGAAAAAGATAGAGGTCTCTCACCAAGGAACCCACAAAAAAGGTGGTACCAGTCAAAGGTAGTCTTGTGCTTTTCTTTTGAGATGAGGGTACCCCAAATGGGTTGTGTCATTTTCACATGAAAATTGGAATGATAATGAACAAGTGAAAGTGAAATCAGCTTCTGTCCTTTGTTCAATAAACATGGATAGAGCACCTGTGTGCAAGGCAGTGGGAGGTGCTGAGGGGAAAGGTAAAGCTGTTTAAGCTGTGGCCCTGAGCTGAAGGAGCAATCTAGCAGTGCTATCAGACCCCACACACTACAGTGTCCCAGGGGTCAGGTGGAGGGAAGGATCACTTCCGGCTGCAGCATCAGGCAAGGCACTCTGCAGCCTCCCCTCTGGGTTCTCAGCGTGCCTTTATGTGGCTGCTTAGCCTGCCCCATCCCAGGCACTTGCACATCTTCCTTATCTTTCTCTGTAGGGTGAGAAATGGAAGTTTGAGAGGATAAGATCCTGCCTCACAGGTACTTAATAAATGTGTGTGGAATTGATGTATGGTGAAAGTGTCACTTTATCTTAGTGCAGCAAGGTGGAAAGAGCTTTGGGAAAGGAGAGGAACGATGGTGGTAGTGAGGGTAAGGTGTTTTCATCAGAAGACGGGAGCAAGGGTACACAAACCAAAAAGTCAATTTAGTACATGGCTTAGCCTAGAGCACACAAGGGCCCCAACACAACCAAAGGCCATAAAAAGGTAGCTGACATCCTCTGCCAAATAGAAATGAAAAGCTAAAATCTTTCTGTTTCTCTTTGAAGTAACAACTGATGTATTCAAGCTCAACCAGAGCATATAAGAGAAAAATGACTAATGAGAGGGTCTGAAATAGCTTTGAAGGACAGTCAGATTCTAGAAAGTAGAAAGATCACTGAGTAAACACTGTACCTCCCTTATCCCCCACACACAAAAAAGGTGAACGTGAATGTGAAAGTGTAGAGCAGGCTTTCGGACATCTTCAAGTTTGTTTTTGGCGCTTCGGTTTGTAAGCAATCAAGATGCTGAGAGACGCTATCCCAAACAGGAAAGTCTGTAGGAACCAGAGTAGCTGAGCCCGACCACTTGTGATGCCTTTGTGCCTAAAAAAAAAAAGAAAACAAAGTTTTAACACCAGAATGTTAATCTTACAGCTTCATGGGAGTTATTGTCTTCTATATATATATTTTTAAATTATACCTTCCACTACTTTCCTTGGGTTTATTTTGCTGCTTTTCTCTGGCTTATCTTGGATGGTTCATTTATTTTTTATGTTTCTTGTTTTCTAATAAGTGTATTTTGGATGATACAGCCTTCCCTGAGAACCAGTCTGGCTACTGTCTGGGGCACAGTATTCTAAAACTGTTCCTCATGCATTTCTGATAAGTGGATGGAGTAAAAAGCACTGGTATGGCTTCAGAGCAAATGTTCTGAAGACAGACCAGATATAGATCCTAGCATGATCACCTACCAGCTATGACCTGGGAAAATCACTCCATATCCCTCAGAATCAGTTTCCTCAACTGAAAAATGGGAATGGCAGTAGCTATCTCACTGAATGTTGAGATGATTGATGGAATAATACACGCGAAGTGCTCAGAAGAAGCCTGGCACACAGTCATGATAAACACCTGCCTGTATCATCATTCAAATTAAACTGCCTAAAACAAGGTGCAAAAAAAAAAAAAAAAGACCCAGTGGAAGTGAATGGCTTGCTATGTACCATCTGTATATAAGCCTCATTTGGATAACTTTTATTTAAAGCAAATATCAAAAAACTTCTGTTTCTTTTTGAAGTAACAACTGACAGTATATGTAAAAACAATGTACTTTTATACAGTAACAGATTAAAGGAGAGAGTCTTAATAAATGATATCTTAATAAATGCAGAATGGCATTTAATAAATTCCAAAATCTGGTCTTTTCTACCCCTGCCTCCAGAGATGGGGGTCTCGCTCTGTCACCTACAGTGGAGTGCCTGGTATAATCATAGCTCACTGCAGCCTCACACTCCTATGCTAAAGCTGTCCTCCCACCTCACTGGGATCATCACAGGCATGTGACACCATGCCTGGCTAGGTTTTTCTTCTTCTTCTTCTTCTTTGTAGAGACAGTGTCTTGCTTTGTTGCACAGGCTGCTCTTGAACTCCTGGCTTTAACCGATTCTCCTGCCTCAGCCTCCCAAATCCTGTGCTAGGATTACAGGTGTGAGTCACCTACATCCACACCCAACATCTTTTTTTTTCTTTCTTTTTTTAAAATGAAGTCTTGCTCCGTTGCCCAGGTTGGAGAGCAGTGGTGCAGTCTTGGCTCACTGCAACCCCTGCCTCCCAGGTTCAGGTGATTCTCCTGCCTCAGCCTCCGGAGTAGCTGGGATAACAGGCATGCACCAGCTATTTTTTCTTTTTTTTTTTTTTTGTAGTTTTAGTAGAGATGTGGTTTCGTCATGTTAGCCAGGCTGGTCTTGAACTCCAGAACTCGTGATCCACCCACCTCAGCCTCCCAAAGCACTGGGATTACAGGTATGAGCTACAGTACTCAGCTCCAACACCCATTTTTAATAAAATTTCTCAGCAAAGTTAGAAATACAATGGAACTTCCTAATTTTGATAGAAGAGATCTACAAAACTCTGGAATAAACACAATGCAAAATGTTGAAAGCTCTCCTTTGAGGTCGGAGCAAGGCACACTTCTAGTCAGCATTTCTAGAAGTTCAAGCCAGTAGAATAAGGGAAGAAACATAAATAAAAGGTATACAGAATTGAAAGAAAGAAATTAAACTGTATTTCTGGACAGTTTTATATCTGAAAAACTGAAAATAATCTACAAACTATTAGAATTAATAAATTTACTTAGCAAGTTTGCTGGGTATAAGGTCAACATAAAAAAATTGACCATATTCATACAAACTACCATCAAACAACTAGAAAATGAAACAAAGTGAGCTGAGATCATGCCACTGAACTCCAGCCGAGGTGACAGAGCTAGACTCCATCAAAAAAAAAAAAAAGTCAGGTGTGTCTGTAATCCTAGTACTTTGGGAGGCCAAGGCAGGTGGTTCACAAGGTCAGGAGTTTGAGACCAGCCTGACCAACATGGTGAAACTCTGTCTCTACTAAAAATTCAAAAAAAGTAGCTGGGCATGGTGGCACACACCTATAATCCTAGCTACTCAGGAGGCTGAGGCAGGAGAATCGCTTAAACCCAGGAGGTGGAGGTTACAGAGCAGAACTCTGTCTCAAAAAAAAAAACAAAAAACCAGTGGGGCACTGTGGCTTATGCCTGTAATCCCAGTACTTTGGGAGGTTAAGGCAGGCAGATCACCTGAAGTGAGGAGTTTGAAACCAGCCTGACCAACATGGAGAAACCCCATCTCTACCAAAAGTATGAAATTAGCCAGGTGTGGTGGCACATGCCTGTAATCTGAGCTACTCAGGAGGCTGAGGCAGGAGATTCGCTTGGACCTGGGATGTGAAGGTTGTGGTGAGCCAAGATTACCCCATTGCAATCCAGCCTGGGCAACAAGAGTGTAACTCTGTCTCAAAAATAAATAAATAAACAAAAGTCGGCCAGATGCGATGGCTCACGCCTATAATTCCAGCACTTTGGGAGACTGAAGCAGCCAGATAGCTTGAGCCCAGGAGTTCAACACCAGCCTAGGGAACATAGTGAGATCTCATCTTTTTTTAAAAAGTCATTTATAATATCATCTCAAAGTAGAAGTAGCTGAAAATTAATCTAACAACAATGTGTAAAACCTCTTAAAATTACAGATATATTAAAGGAGATATATTTTAATTATAGATATATTAAAGACAGGCCATTTCATCATTAGAAGACTCAATAATAGAAATATTTCATGCTTTCCTGACCTTAAGGAAAAAAATAGTCATATGTTAGCCCAGTGTAATGGCACACCTGTAGTCCTAGCTGCTTGGGATGCTGAGGCAGGAGGATCACTTGAGCACAGTGCTCAAGGCTAGCCTGGGCAACACAGTGAGACCCATCTCTTAAAAAATAAAAGAAAATTTTAAATAGGCAAAATGACAATGAAAATCAATTATAGAAGATATTATATCTATATATATAAATACAACTGGATTACAGGCATCAGTCAACCATACCCTGCAACTTTCAATTTTATAAGCTGAGTTTTTACCACATAATTACCTTTTAAAAACAAACATGTGGGCTGGCAGGGTGGCTCATGCCTATAATCCCAGCGGTTTCAGAGGCCGAGAAGAGTGGATCACGAGGTCAGGAGATTGAGAACATCCTGGCTAACACAGTGAAACCCCATCTCACTAAAAATACAAAAAATTAGCCAGGCGGGGTAGCAAGTGCCTGTAGTCCCAGCTACTTGGGAGGCTGAGGCAGGAGAATCACTTGAACCCAGGAGGCAGAGGTTGCAGTGAGCCGAGATTGCACTACTGCTCTCCAGCCTGGGCGACAGAACAAGACTCCATCTCAAAAAAATAAAAATAAAAACAAATATGTTTGTTTTGAAATGGGCAAAATAACAAAAATATTTTGTTCCAGAAAATAATTTATATGATCTTGTAAATGTGTAAGATACTTAGGAAAGAAAGATGAAGATGAGTTGCCATCTTGGAAGAACAGGCTCACTGAATAGCAGGACCTGTTCCCTCCTTCTCCAGAGGGGTCACAATTGGTGGCTAGGTCACCCAGAGGAGTTTCCTGGGGTCACCATAACTTGTTCTCATTCAAACACCTTTATCTGTATCCTTAGCTCATTTTGCCTATTTAAAAGACAAAAGCCTTTTAAGAAAATTTTCTTAATTCTCAGTCCCTTAATGATTCCACCAAGACCCAGGCAGATGTAAACATATCTTTGTGAGTACATTTTTTCCTGCCTTATGAAAAAATGTTACTTCTGTTACTTTTAAATTTTCATAATTTACCTGTTTTGGTCACTCGAGGCTGCCCTATCACAGAGTACTTCCACTTGTCAAGAACTCCTGTTCTGTTTCTATACTGTAATAAAATCTACTCTACAGACAAATTTTCGCAAAACCTGAAAAACCTTTCTAAGGGCTGCAGAGCCAACTGGGGTACGCAAGCAGCAAGAATCTAATTTCTGAAATAAGAGAATAAGCCGTATATTCTGAAAGGAAAATTCCAGATTGTAAAAAGGTAACAATGAACATGAGTGTTGGCCTCAAAGAGATATGATTTTATTTATCCCTAAGGAAAAACCATTCCATTTTTCTTGTTAAAATATTTTTATGTAACAAGAACTACAAGCACCTTTCAAAGAAGAGTTGAATCTCACTTTGTAATCAAATAAATACAAGTTAAAATGGCTAGATACCCTTTTTAATCTATCAAAATAGCAAAGCATTTTTTGTACATGCCCTCCCACCCCCACCAAAAATGCCACTTTCTTTTCTTTTCTTATTTTTTGACAGAGTCTCACTTTATCGCCCAGGCTGGAGTGCAGTGGTGTGAGGCTCACTGCAAACTCCACGTGATTCTCTGCCTCAGCTTCCCGAGTAGTTGGGATTATAGGCATGCACCACCACACCTGGCTAATTTTTGTATTTTTTAGTAGAGATGGGGTTTCACCATGTTGGCCAGGCTTGTCTCGAACTCTTGACATTAGGTGATCCACCTGCCTCAGCCTCCCAAAGTGCTGGGATTATAGGTGTGAACCACTGCGTCTGGCCAAAAATGGCACTTTCATAGAATGGTAGTGAAAATGTAAAATGCAAAAAACCCTACTGAAAAGCAATTTTGCAGTCGTATCAAGAGCTTTATAACTGTTCTTTCACTCAGTAACTCTACATCCACAGATTTAGCCTAAGGAAGAAAATAAAAAATACCTAAAATGGTTAAAGAGTAAATGTGCATTGTTAGAAGGTTTATTAAATAATAATGGGATATACAATTACAGGAGTCTTTTGCAAACTTTAAAATTATTTACCTAGAGATTTTAAAAACCTGGGAAATTATTTAATATTATAATTACGGTGTTTAAAAAGTTAAACGTGAAGTCTAATCTTATCTCTAGTGAAAAGAAATTCACCAAAAAAGTGCTTACTGTATTTTTTAACATGGGATTTGAGAGACTGACTGTGCACTGAAATTCTTATTTAGGGCCTAACACAGAGGAGCTGTTTGCTAAATGCTAATTTTCTGCTACCTGATTTTTCCCTCCAAGGTTGTTTCTGTATTTTTTTTAAGAGTCCAGAATATTGCTTTGTGCATGATGATCATTGAATTAAAAAATTAACATATGCATGAAAAATAAAAAATTTCACCTCCCAGGTAGCTGGGATCACAGGTATGAGCCACCATGCCCAGCTAACTTTTTTTTGTATTTTTAGTAGAGACAGGGTTTCACCATGTTGGCCAGGCTGGTCTCAAACTCCTGACCTCAGGTGATCACCTGCCTTGGCCTTCCAGAGTGCTGAGATTCATCATCTCATAATTCAAAAAGAGGATTTATTTTGATTTATAGTGACTAACGATACATTCTAACATGTTAGACCATAAAGAAATGATTTCAAGAACATAAAAATAGTGACCTAACCTCTATGCCTGTTCTCCCCCTGCCCTTCAAAATAACTGTATATAAATTTGATTATTCTGGTTTTCATCAGATACTCAAAATGCCAACAACAAAATAGGTGTCAGGCGCTCCTACATTCCAAGTTGAGGAGCTGGACCAGACGCCTTGAATCCGAGATTCCACTGCAATACTGCAGAGGCCACTGGGAAGAGGTCCTAGTGTCCTGTGGCATTTCCCACAAGCCCAGAGAATGGCTTCAACAAAACCATTTGTAGAGCTTGACATGAGTCCCCTGGAATCTGGGGAAGGGTTTAATATCTGATTCCAAAGAGTAAGCACGGCTTTGGCCGGTTTGCTGGGAGAGCAAGGAAGCATGGCTGCACTGCGGACTGATGAACTTGCAGATGATCCCACTGGAGGGATAAGGAAGTTGTTTACTGTGAGCCACACAGATCCTGTAGAAGGCACTGGACATGAGTAGGTTTAAAAGGACCCTGTACCACTGGCCCACCTGAAGGAAGGAAGTGATCTCAATAAAAGGGTAATTCTCCCCAGAACACAGACTCTGAGGGTGAAACTGTAAGTGGCATGCTGGAGGAGGTATCTGAATGAACCATCAAGGAAACTGCAGAAGGGAGATCCTTAGTGATTAGCAGTGTCTCAAAAATCTACCACATCCCCTCTAGAGAGAAAGAGCCAGTACTGGAAACGCTACATACACAGCACCCAGCTGCCTGATCACAAAGCAGCAGCTGTTTATTGTTTTCTTAATTTTAATTTTAATTTTTGAGACAGGGTCCTGCTCTGTCACCCAGGCTGGAGTGCAGTGGTGCAATCTTGGCTCACTATAGCCTCTGCCTCTCAAGTTCAAGTGACTCTCATGCCTCACCCTCCTAAGCAGCTGGGACTGCAGGCACGCACCACCATGCCTGGCCAATTTTTTGTATTCTTAGTAGAGATGGGGCTTTGTCATGTTGGCCAGGATGGTCTCAAACTCCTGGCCTCAAGTGATCTGAGCACCTCAGCCTCCTAAAGTGCTGGGTTTACAGGTGTGAGCCACTGCACCAGGCGAGCAGCAGCTATTTAAAGCTGAACCTTATTCTCTGTAACTATTGCCACCATCCCAAGGGACCATAAGCAGCAACCGCTAGTGAATAGATGAGAAGGTGGAGTGTAAGAGAAGGCATCAACTCCACCTTTTCCCCACTGCAGGCTCCTGAGCCCCAGCTGAATGAGAACAGACATTTTGAATTAGAAGAAAGTTTATAGTTTTAACAAATAGACTGGGCTAGAATGGATATCATCAGATGGTGATTGGAAATCCTATGATCTGCTTGAAATTCCATCCAGAGATACGGTAAAAGGTGGGGAACAACCCAGAAAGGAAATTTACTTGGAGAGTGGTGAGAAAGAAATAATAAAGTTATTTTCTGCTCCTCTTCAATGAAAGTCTAGCTTGTGACTGGGCACAGTGGCTCATGCCTATAATCCCAGCACTTTGGGAGACCGAGCCACGTCAATCACCTGAGAGCTCAGGAGTTCGAGACTAGCATGGCCAACGTGGTGAAAACACATCTCTACTAAAAATACAAAAATTAGCTGGGTGCGGTGCTGGGCTCCTGTAATCCCAGCTACTGGGGAGGCTGAGGCAGGAGAATTACTTGAACCTGGGAGGCAGAGATTGCAGTGAGTCAAGATTGCACCACCGTACTTCATCCAGCCTGGGTGACAAAGCAAGATTCTGTCTCAAAAAAAAAAAGTCTAGCTTGTTTAATAAACAAGAAAACAGAGTAATAGTGCCCAATTAACATTGATTATTTTTATGGAAAAACAGTAATAGAGTATCTTATTTTCTACTTTTAGAATAGAAAAATAATAGAGGTGATAGTATATCTTGACCAGAAATTAACTCAATTAATTAATTAATATCTGGACCAGAAAGTAATTGAAAAGCAATTTAGCATTACTATAACCATGTTTTCCAGTGTACCATACTTTCTATATATGCTTATATAAAGTACAAATATAAAAATAATTTTTTCTAGTATTCCCATACAGCATTAACCTACGCTAGCAACTGCTAAGTGGGGTCTGGTTTGGGGGCTTTTAACTAGCACTGCATCCTAGAATTATCTGTGGAGCTTTTAAAAAAAACACATTCTTACATCTGAGGCAAGACTTAGAATCTCTGGGTCTGGAAACCAGACGTGTGTATTTTGAAAAAGCTCCTCAGGTGGTTCAATTGTAAAATGGGGATTGCCAGTCACTGGCCTAGGTCAGTCACTTAGCTCTTTTGTAAACTAGAAGCCAGGCTCCTAGTCTTTTGGTCTAGTTGGGGCTACACAGAAAATTTGTTAAAAAATAACAAAAGTCACCTGAATTAGATAACTAAGTAATTGATTAACCAATATAAACAAAATGAATCCATTCATCAAACATTTACTGGGTGCTCCCTCTGCACAAGGCTCAGTATCAGGTATGGGGATTCTTCTCTACCCTGAAAATGTTCTCAACCTACAAGTGTGTGAATTATTTAAATGTGGCTACTCTCGGTTTATATTAGATACTAAGAGAAAGGCGACAAGGAGTTACTTCCAAGACTTACTTGCACAATACTATGGCATACAAGGACTCTCCCACATGAATCAGCCAGGCAAGCCAATACCTGAAACCAAAAAAAAAGTTAGTCTTTTTTTAAGGTGATAGTTATCTGCTGATGAAATCTAACACAGCCATCTCAGAAAGAAAAGCACCTTAATGTGAACTAACAGTACTCTTAGATACCAAAAGGCAGCTGCGGGCCTTCCAGGTCTCCCGTGAGACCAGAGCTGCAGTGTCCACAGCCCATTTGTGCAGCTCTCCTTACCCATTGCTCAGGAGGGTGTGATGGTGGTCCACCAAGTACTGAGTGAAAGAGCCCAAGGGCCCAAGGCTCTGATAAGGGATACTCTGAGGCCAGAAGACAACCCACTGAAAGAGAACCAGAGACACAGAATACCTATTAGGTCACTTAAAACCTGTTTTTTTGTTTTTTTTTTACGAGAAAGGCTGTGAAACAATACAAAAACAACTACAGACCAAAGAAACTCTGAACAGTCATCTGGGCCTCCATTCTTGACTTCCATTTTCTTTCTTTTTTTTTTTTGAGACAGGGTCTCACTCCACTGCTGGGGCTAGAGTGCAGTGGCATGATCATGACTCACTGCAGCCTCTACCATCTGGGCTCGATCCATTCTCCCAACTCAGCCTCCCAAGTACTTGGTACCACCCATGTGTGCCACCATGCCTAGCTACTTTTAAAAATTGTATATAGAGGCTGGGCGCAGTGGCTCACGCCTGTAACCTCAGCACACTGGGAGGCTGAGGTGGGTGGATCACCTGAGGTCAGGAGTTTGAGACCAGCCTGGCAAAACCCCATCTCTACTAAAAATTAAAAAAATTAGCCGGATGTGATGGCAGTTGCCTGTCGTCCCAGCTGCTTGGGAGGCTGAGGCTGGAGAATTGCTTGAACCTGGGAGGTGGAGGTTGCAGTGAGCCGAGATTGCACCACTGCACTCCAGCCTGGGCAACAGAGTGAGACTCCATCTCAAAAAAAAAAAATTGTATATAGAGATAGGGTCTCACTATGTTGCCCAGGATGGTCTCCAACTCCAGGGCTCAAGCAATTCTCCCACCCTTGCCTCCCAAAGTGCTAGGATTACAGGCATGAGCCACTGTGCTGGGATGACTTCTATTTTCTAAAAGCAACTCTACTGGGAGATTTATGCTGAGGAAAGTATGTGGTTATCAGACTCAATGCCCACAGTGGATGACTCCTAGTCTTTTTTCTTTTTTAAATTTGTAGAGAAGGGATCTTGCTTTGTCGCCCAGGCTAGAGTGCAGTGGCATGATCACAGCTCACTGCAGCATTGACTGCAGTGGGTCCTCCCAACTCAGCACCCCCAGGTAGCTGGGATTACAGGTCTGGGCTACCACGATTGGCTAATTTTTATTTAAATTTTTTTTATTTTTTTGAGACAGGGTTTTGCTGTCACTCAGGCTAGGTACAGTGGCATGATCTTGGCTCACTACAACCTCCGTCTCCCAGGTTCAAGTGATTCTCCCACCTCAGCCTCTAAAGTAGCTGGGACTACAGGTTCGTGCCACCATGCCCAGCTAATTTTTGTTATGTTTTATTTTTTTTGAGATGGAATTTCACTCTGGTTGCCCAGGTTGGAGTGCAATGATGCCATCTCAGCTCACCGCAACCTCTGCCTCCAGGGTTCAAGTGATTCTCCTGCCTCAGCCTCCTGAGTAGTTGAGATTATAGGCATACACCACCATGCCCAGATAATTTTTGTATTTTTTTAGTAGAGATGGGGTTTCTCCATGTTGGTCAGGCTGGTCTCGAACTCCCGACCTTAGGTGATCTGCCTGCCTCACTCTCCCAAAGCGCTGGAATTACAGGCGTGAGCCAATGCGCCCGGCCTAATTTTTGTATCTTTAGTACAGACAGAGTTTCACCATATTGGCCAGGCTGGTCTCCAACTCCTGACCTGAGGTGATCTGCCCTCCTTGGCTTCCCAAAGTGCTGGGATTACAGGAGTGAGCCACTGTGTACGGCCCATGGCTAATTTTCTTTCTTTTTTTTTTTTTGGTAGTGATGGGGTTTTGCCATGTTGCCCAGGATGGTCTCGAACTCCTGGGCTCAAGTGATCTGCCCGCCTCAGCCTCCCAATATGCTGGAATTACAGGTATGAAACACCGTGCCTGGCTGGCTGACTCCTATTCTTTTTTTTGAAACAGAGTCTTGCTCTGTCACCGGCCACCAGGTTGGAGTGCAGTGCCTTGATCTCGGCTCACTGCATGCAACCTCCACCACCTGGCTTCAAGCAATTCTCCCGCCTCAGCCTCCCGAGTAGCTGGGACTACAGGCACGCCACCACACCCAGCTAATTTTTGTATTTTTAGTAGAGATGGGTTTTCACCATGTTGGCCAGGATGGTCTCGATCTCTTGACCTCGTGATGTGCCCACATCGGCCTCCCAAAGTGCTGGGATTACAGGCCTGAGCCACCATGCCCGGCCATGACTCCTATTCTTAATACATTCGACCAAAATCAGTATTTTATAAAAGATACTAGGAAATTTTGAATTTATGTGCTTTTGTTAGTTTCTTGACTGCAGAAACTGGCTTGAGACAAAACCCTTGCTTAATTTAGAATTCCTTTCTCAGCTTTCCCTTTTTGTTCCTCTAAAACTGAGAATGAGCCACTGCAAAGAGATGGAAAATAAGTGAGATAATGTTTGTGACATTTTAATAGCAACTGCTTAATCATGTTTTTTGTAATCTTAACTTTTCTCGGCCTCTGTGTTGCAACCTCTACCAGCTTAGAGTTTCCTGAGAATAATTGCCAACAATTTCAAAATGTATTGTCCTATTCATGTCTTTGTCAAGGGCAGTACTACCTCTCTCACTATGTTGCCTCACATCTGAAATTTAAATAAAGCACAAATATCACTGCATCCTCCCAAACCAAGGGGCAGGGGGAGCATCTGCCAGCTCCACAAGATCCCAATTTGAAGTCCTCAAAGCTTTCCTCCAACTATATTCTAACTAGTCACAGACACAGAATTGTAGAACAAAATTCACCTTTGAAAAATTTCAGTTCAACACCTCTGCTGTAATACAGGGAAATCTGGACAGAGGTGGTCAGATTTTACAACAACAAAGTACACTGTGGACATGACAGATCCCCAATCTCCAGGATCTATTGGTATATCCCAATAGCTTCACCTTCCTTCAAAATTTTACCACCTTATCACTTGAGGTCAGGTGTTCGAGACCAGCCTGACCAATATGGTGAAACTCCGTCTCTACTAAAAGTACAAAAAATTAGCCAAGGGTGGTGTAATCCCAGCTACAGGTTGAGGCACGAAAATCGCTTGAATCTGGGACTCAGAGGTTACAGTGAGCCGAGATCGCCACTGCACTCCAGCCTGGGTGACAGAGCAAGACTACGTCTCAAAAAAAAAAAAAAAAAAAAAAAAACTTACCACCCTAGCCCACAACCTACTTCTCCACGCATCTTTCTCGTTATCCTTTAAACAGATTCTTTCTCAGCCAAACGTCGCTTTTTCTCAGTACAGTTTTTTTCTTGCTTCCACACCTATGTCGTAACAGTTATATCCTCTCTATCCCATCTTACCACTTAAATCCCACCCATCCTTTACGTTTATCCCCGTTTTCCAAGCGATTCCTACTGGCTCAAACATTCTGCTGCGGAAGCCCTATTCTGACTTGGCAGGCCTATGGCAGTCTGTCAACTTGACTTCCCACTTCGTGAGAGGCTTAGGCTCGGTGAACCCCTTAGTAAGGTAGCAGAGGTAAGGACGCAAAGCAGGAACACTGGGAAGCAGAAACCATCCCAAGAGCCCACCAAACTTCCGCTTACAGGAGTAACCTAGGCAATCATCAGCCGCGCGTGCGCACAGACCTCGTTCCCACAGCGCCCTCGCCCTACGAGGGCCCGGCGGGACAAAACAGACACCCGCCCCACCCCACACCTCACCGCGAAGTGGCCCAGCCCCAGGACTGTGACCAGAGAGGGCAAGGGTCTGGGTGGACGGAAATAGGCGGTAGCTGCGCTGCTGGCCTTCGACTTCGCCATCCTCTTGAAAAACCTAGACACAGAGTTGTCTGGGAACTCCCCAGCCGTCTCCGCCCCTGGATAAGAAAAGCCTGGCTAGCCGGTTTCTGACCGGCCCGAGCGCCGGCCCAAGACCCTGGCGGACCAGTGCGCCTGCGTCTCATTCCGGCGCCTCGGCCCTTCCCTCTGCTCCAAGCGCGCGGGAGCCGGGATTGTGCTTGCACGACCTCCCCCGGCCTGCGGGCCAAGATCCTGCGGTAAACCGAGCGCGCGCTCGCTCCCTGGCCCGACCGTGGCCCTCCGGCGGGCGCCCTTACTGTGTGGTAGCCAAAGCTGAGGGTGATGACTGTGAACCAGAACAGACTGCCTCTCTGGAAGTAGGCCGTAGCGCCAGCTGCCGTAGCCATGGTTGTAGCACCTCGCGGGGAGCGCCCGGCTGGGCCGGGGCGGGGCCGCGCTCCTCCCGCCATCCCCGCAGGGTGACGATGGTGCGGGTTGGGAGCTCCCTGTGAACAAGTCTCCCTGTCTGGCCCCCGTGCCCTGTCTGGTTCCAGTACAAGGGGCCTTGGAATCACACTTGGGTTTAGATCTGGCGGGCTGGTCATCTTGTAGGCGTGACTCTCCTCTGTGACGTTTCTGGGTTTAACATAAAGCTAATTGGGGCTGGCGAGGTGGTGTTTCCCTGTAATCTCAGCACGTCTGGCGGAAGGATCGCTTGAGCCCAAGAGTGTGAGACCATCCCGGGCAACATAGCGAGACCCTGTTTCGAATAAATGAATGAATGAATTAGATGTTGGAACAAATTCCAGCAGTTTGGGAGACTGAGGTGGGCGGATCACTTGAGGTCAGGAGTTAGAGACCAGCGTGGCCAACATGGTGAAACCGCGTCTCTACTGAAAATACAAAAAGTTAACTGGGTGCGATAGCGTGCGCCTGTAGTCCCAGCTACTCGGGAGGCTGAGACAGGAATCTCTTGAACCCGGGAAGTGGAGGTTGCAGTGAGCTGAGATCGCACCCACTGCACTTCTGCTTGGGCTACAGAGTGACACTCCATAAAAAAAAAAAAAAAAATGAACACCTCCTATGTTCAAGGGATTGTTCTAAGTACTATACAAGAATTAACTCATTTATAGCCGGGTATGGTGGTGTGCACCTGTAATCCCAGCTACTTGGGAGGCTGATGCAGGAGAATCACTTGAACCCTGGAGGCAGAGATTGCAGTGAGTCAAGATCACCCCATTGCACTCCGGCCTGGGTGACAGAGTAAGACTCTGTCTCAAAAAAAAAAACACACACACAAAAAAAACCCCTCTATTTAATTCGTAAAACAATCCTAAGCAGTAAACTATTGTCTTTATTTCAAAGAAGAAGAAAACAGCACAGGGTCCTGTAATGCCCAAGTGGGTGGAGATACTGGAAACCGAGTGGCAGCTGGGTGTTCCAGTTCCAGAGAGGGCACTCTGGAACCAGCCAAAGTTCTGTTTCCTCATTTTTTACATGAGTATCTTGGGCTATAAAGTCTTAAAGAATGGATTTCAGAATATGTGAGGAAATCCGTTTCCCAGGTAGACCACAGTGCCCTTGAGTATCGGGATTAACAGTAACAACTGGTGTATTCTTAGTCTTTTATGGTCCTTGCTCACACCACGCTCTTTGTTCTCCTCCCTCCAAATAACTCCTTGTTTTCTCAGCTTTCCGTTTATTTCTTCCCTCCTATAAGTTTTGCTTATTATCTTCTTTGTGTTTTCAGTCCCTTTCAGATTCCATTTGTACCTTCATGCAGATGACTAAAACAGTCTCCAGCCCTCACCTGTTTTTAGTTGGGCACCTTTACCAAGGATTACTCACACCTCAAAGACAAGAAGTCCATTATTATCTACAGAGTCCATCCTCACCAAGGCTATTGTGTCTGTGTTTACAGCATGTTCCCTCTACCGTGTACCTAGATTCCTTGCTTTGACTTTCCCCATATCATGTAGAGATTGCAGACTAATCAGCTGTCAAGAGTTCTACTGATTGGGTAATACTTCTAGATTAAATCATGGTTTAATCCCCACTGTCTCAATGAGTCACTCCTTCCTATATCCTGCCACTTTGGCCCACAAACAATCCATTTATTGAATTTGTGACAAATGAGAGGATCATCTTTTCCAAGTATAGTTCTGATTAAACCTTTACCATACCAAAACTTTTTTTTTTTTTTTTTTTTTGAGATAAAGTCTCACTGCATTTCTCAGGTTGTAGTGCAATGGCAGAATCTCAGCTCACTGCAACCTCGGCCTTCTGGGTTCAAGTGATTCTCCTGCCTCACCCTCCCTAGTAGCTAGGACTAGTCGTGTGCCACCATGCCGGGCTAATTTTTTATATTTTTAGTAGAAAGAGGGTTTTACCACTTTGGCCAAGCTGATCTCGAACTCCTGACCTCAGGTGATCCACCCACCTTGGCCTCCCCAAGTGCTGGAATTACATGTGAGCCACCATGCCCAGCCTGCCTTACCAAAACTTTTCAAGAACTTCCCTAATTTTAGGCTATTGTTTTTCAGTATTTCTATTTAGGGGTTAAATCTGCAACAAGGGAGATATTGGAGAAATAATTCATGTTACAAAAAATGTTGGAGAGGCAAAATGGCTTGGGTCAGTGGACTCCAGGGAGCTAGTTTCATGTCTTCTACAACCGAGCTTAGAGCTCAGCCTATTACTTAGTGTCCTGTGTCTTCCAACTTCACACTATTTTTTTTTTTATATAGAGATGGCATTTCACTGTGTTGCCCAGGCAGATCTCAAACTCCTGGTCTCAAATAATCCTTCCACCTCAGCCTCCCAAAGTGCTGGGATTATAGTTGGAGGCTGTGCCTGTCCATCAACAGCCCAACACTAAGCATCTTACTGTTAGCCCCTCGTGCACAGATAAGGAATTCAGAAGACAGTACCAGAAGATCTTTAATCAGATGTGAGTAGTTTATGTCAATTCATGAAGAACCCACAGTTCAGAAGGGATTCGTTTCTTCCAAGTCACCCTTCACACATGGCAGGGGTGACTGAATTCTCTAACGTCCAGGCACTCTACACTGCTGTCCCATCTGAACTGGTAGAGGAATCTCTCATCCTTGGACATTTTCCCTCTCCTCTCTAGATGGATTAATAACCTAAATATGAAAACAATGAAGAAAATCTGGGAGAGGCCAGGTGCTGTGGCTCACGCCTGTAATCCCAGCACTATGGGAGGCTGAGGCAGGCAGGTCATGAGGTCAGGAGATTGAGGTGAAACCCCATCTCTACTAAAAATACAAAAAATTAACTGGACGTGATAGCATGTACCTGTAGTCCCAGCTACTTGGGAGGCTGAGGCAGGAGAATCACTTGAACCTGGGAGGCAGAGGTTGCAGTAAGCCGAGATCATGCCACTACACTCCAGCCTGGGCCACAGAGTGAGATTCCATCTCAAAAAAAAAAAAAATCTGGGAGAATAGTTTTACAACTTTTGAGAGAGGGGAAGAATATTTAGTAACAATAACAACTTTTAGCATGTTATTAAATGAAAAGCCATTCATATGAATGACACTGTAAATAAAGTTGAAAGACCTGAAAGAAGGAATTCTCCAATATATGTAATTGACAAATGATTAAAGGATATGAATTGGACCTCCTCAAAAGAGAAAACTTGAGGCCAAGACTAAAGTTCCGAAGTAATAGCTATAGGATTTTTTTGAGTTTATGCGTGTAGGTGTGTATATACATTTAAAAGACTTTTATAATAGATTTCTATAATTTTAATTGGCATTTAAATTTGTTTTAACTGCCCTCTAGCACACCTGACTTTTTCTCTTGAAATGTAAATTTTGCTGTCTGCTTTTTCACCTAAGAGTTGTTCCTTTAATATGCAAATTTAGCACTATTTAGCTAAAACTGCATAGGGTAATATAATGGGTTATCAAGAATTTAAAAGTCTAAGGGAAAAAAAGAAGTCTTATGAATCTGTAAGATGTACTTCTGTTGGCATGCCTAATATGTCTATGTATCTGTGTGCTGTGTATATAATGTTTTACTACTAAAAAGATATTAAATAGCTTGAATTAATTGGTTTAAAGAAAAATAAAAGTGCTTAAATCAAATACAAAAAAAAAAGAAAAGACTAGTCAAATGCTTTTTCAAGTTCACATGAGATGGGATAATTCCCTTGACCCCCTTCATGGGTGGGAACTAGAGTGGCTCATTTCACTCAGCCTGCTGCTGGCCACTCCTTGCAAGTGGGAGCATGCAAGCAAACCAGTGCAGGAACCAGAGCAAACAAACACTGGAACTGGCCAGTTGCTCCTCTCTGTCGGGAACAGGTTCTGTGTGGGCCCTGCAGCAGCATCCAAGCATATTACAATCAATGCTCTTTCAGCTCTGTCATCTGGAGATGGCCAAGTGCCATCTAGCTCAGTGGAGGGTCAGGGTGGCAGCAGCTGCCCTCTCAGTACCTGCATTCTTGTCTGACATCCAGAAAGAATCAGGTCACACAATCCAGAAAGAATCGGGTCACACAAATTGATTGAAGGGTAGTGTATAAAGAGGATTTTTTTATTTTTATTTTTTAGACAGAGTTTTGCTCTTGTCTCCCAGGCTGGAGTGCAATGGCAGAATCTCGGCTTACTGGAACCTCCACCTCCCAGGTTGAAGTTACTTTCCTGCCTCAGCCTCCTGAATAGCTGAGATTACAAGCCTGCACCACCACGCCTGGCTAATGTTTGTGCTTTTAGTAGAGACAGGGTTTCACCACATTGGTCAGGCTGGTCTCAAACTCCTGACCTCAGGTGATCTGCCTGCCTCAGCCTCCTAAAGTGCTGGGATTACAGGCGTGAATCACCACACCCCTTGTGTATAAGGAGGATTTTACTGGGCGATGGAAGTGGCTCTCAGCAGGATGGGGAGTTGGAAAGCGGATTGTGTGGGAAGAAGGTGATCTTTCCTTGAAGCCCAGCTGTCTCTGGCTGGGCCCCAATCTGAAGCCACATTGTCTGAAGTTAGTTGTGTCTATCCACAGTCACAAATGATCAGTTGCTTATGTGCTTGCCACTCAGCCACTTGTATTCTCACCAGTCAGCTGCTTGTGTTGCTCTGCCAGTTCAAGTCTTTTTTTTTCTTGTTGTTGTTTCTGTTTTATTTGTTTTTTATTTTTTTATTTTTTACCAACTGAAGTCTTTTTATGGGCACAGGATAGGGGTGTGGCAGGCCCAAAAGGCAATATTTGGGTGGAAAAACAAGGTCAGTTGTTTTCACTTAGGGCTACTGTTACAAGCTTAACAGCAGGATTTAGCCCTGAGCCCAGCCCTTCTGTATCACACATGACTTAAGTAAAATTTTTAATAAATAAGCTGGCTTTAAAACTATTTGGTAAAATAATACTAGAAATGTCTTAAGAATTGTTAGTATTTTTGTTTGCATTTATTGATCAAGTGGTTTCATACTTTATTCCTGCAGAATACTATAAGATTTACCATAAGGGTTATAAAACTATAAAACCAGCCCAAAAGAAAATGATCCTTGCTTGTATTAATTTTTGACAAATAAGACATGGAACACTGTTGGTTTAATGAGTTATTGGTGAAAACATCCTTATATTAAACCTTAAGCTTCTTACCTAAGTAAACACCTGAAATTTATAGCTATAAAAATAATTAATAGAGAATTAGTTTTAAGTGATGACTATCACAGTTTTCATAAATAACCTAGGTAAACTACCAGATAAATTAATCAAGTAAATGTAATAGAATAAATGCTTGTCAACAAACTTGTCATAAAATTTAGGATCTAAAGTCATATTAAATAATGGATATTAATTGAATATCTGGGTAATTTACAATTTTAAAATTATAGGAAAACATTTTTAATGTCCTCATTAAAAGGCAAATATGGCCAGGCACAATGGTTCACATCTCTCATCCCAGCACTTTGGGGGCCAAGGCAGGTAGATCATGAGGTCAGGATTTCAAGGCCAGCCTGGCCAAGATGGTGAAACTCCATCTTTACTAAAAATATAAAAATTAGCTGAGCATGGTGGCAAGCACCTGTAATCCCAGCTACTTGGGTAGCTGAGGCAGAGAGTTGCTTGAACCTGGGAGGTGGAGGTTGCAGTGAGCTGAGATTGCACCACTGCACTCCAGCCTGGGCAACAGAGCAAGACTCTGTCTCAAATAAATAAATAAATAAGGTAAATATCTTTTTTTTTTTTTTTGAGACAGAGTTTCGCTCTTGTTACCCAGGCTGGAGTGCAATGGTGCGATCTCGGCTCACTGCAACCTCCTCCTCCTGGGTTCAGGTAATTCTCCTGCCTCAGCCTCCCTAGTAGCTGGGATTACAGGCACGCGCCACCATGCCCAGCTAATTTTTTTTGCATTTTTAGTAGAGACGGGGTTTCACCATGTTGACCAGGATGTTCTCGATATCTTGACTTCGTGATCCACCCGCCTCGGCCTCCCAAAGTGCTGGGGTTACAGGCGTGAGCCACCACGCCCGGCCCTATAAGGTAAATATTTTTGTCTAATTCAAAGCTTATTTAAGGTTATGCATAGAACAGTGTAAACAGAAACAGGAAATATGAGATGTAAGGAAAGTTATAAAGAAAGTAATAATTAAAATAATTTTTACATGAGGAAGAATATTGTATGTTTTTTTTCTCCCCCTAAAATAAGATTACTGGTTGTTTGGCCAGGCATGGTGGCTCATGAGGTCAGGAGTTCAAGAGCATCCTGGCCAATATGGTGAAACCTTGTCTCTACTAAAAATACAAAAATTAGCCTGTAGTCCCAGCTACTTGGAAGGCTCAGGGAGGAAAATCACTTGAAGCCGGGAAGTGGAGGTTGTAGTGAGCCGAGATTACACCACTGCACTCCAGCCTGGTGACACAGCAAGACTGCATCTCAAAAAAAAAAAAAAAGAAAAGATTACTGATTATTCAAGAAGGAGGGATATTTAGGACAAAACAAATAGCCCAAGCATGTTGTAAATGGTCTATGTAAGTTGTAATAAGGTTAGTAAAAAGGAATTTAATTTTTTTTTTTGAGAGAGTCTCACTCTGTCACATAGGCTGGAGTGCAGTGGTGCGCTCTTGGTTCACTGAAACCTCCACCTCATGGGTTCAAGTTAATATCCTGCCTCAGCCTCCCAAGTAGCTGGGATTACAGGTGCGTGCCACCACACCTAGCTAATTTTTGTATTCTTAAGTAGAGACAGGATTTCACCATGTTGTTCAGGCTGGTCTCAAACCCCTGACCTTGTGATCTGCCTGCCTCAGCCTCCCAAAGTGCTAGGATTACAGGCATGAGCCACCACTCTCAGCTGGAATTTAATTTTTTTAAGGGGTTATATAAGTCCATTGTCTATGATTAAGAAGAAATTATAATACTCTTTCTAGAGATGGGTCTTTGATTGTAATGTCAATGAAGAGGGTCGAACTCTGTAAAATAGTTGAAGAGATTTATTCTGAGCCAAATATGAGTGACCATGGCCTGTGACACAGCCCTCAGGAGGTTCCAAGAACATGTGTCCAAGGTGGTTGGGGCACAGCTTGGTTTTATTCATTTTAGAGAGGCATGAGACATCAATCAAATACATTTAAGAAATACATTGGTTTGGTCCAGAAAGGCAGAACAACTCAAAGCAGGGGCTTTCAGGCTATTGTTGAATTTAAACATTTTCTGATTGACAGTTGGTTGAGTTTGTCTGAAGACCTAGGATAGATAAAAAGGGAATGTTCAGGTTAAGATAAAGATTACGGAGACCAAAGTTCTTTTGAAGTCTTATAGTGGCTGCCTTTAGAGACAATAGGTGACAAATGTTTCCTATTCAGATCTTAATCTCTTTAGGATTGGGAGGGTCTGGAAGAAAAAGATCTAGCTATGTAAACCTAGATTCTTTGCAGATACAAATTTTTCCCCACAAAGAACAGCTTTGCGGGGCCATTTCAAA